CACCAATTTATTATTCCATATAAACATAAAATCCAGGAACTTTATAATTAAGAATAAACTTTCTTAAAATTTAACATCTTTATAAATAAACTGCCTATCTTTTAGATATCGTAAGAATTAAAGTTTCATAATTAATTATTCAACACCTAACTTCGAATGAAATAAGTGATGTATTTATTTCGAAATAAGTGACTTACATATTTTTACAGTAAGTGTATGTTTAATTTACGGTTCCGTTCACTTCACTGGCACCATTTCATAGACATAACACTTCACCTACAATCAATTTACCGACATGTTTATTTCACGGACAATCAATTCCTAGACAAGCTCATTTCGTAGACAACTCATTTCACCGAAGCTCATTTCACCGACATTATTATTATCATTAGAATTGGGTTAGGGTTAGGATTAGGGTTAGAGGAATTTATAAGAAATAAACTTGTCGGTGAAATGAAATGAGCTTGTCTAGGAATTGGTTGTCTGTGAAAAGTACATGTCGGTGAATTAATTGTAGGTGAAATGTTATGTCTATGAAATTGGTGAAGTGATACGTATCGGTTTATTTGTAATTGATTTATAATCCGACACACTTAATTTTATTTCTAATTTTGAAATTTAAAAATACAATTTAGATTTTTTAAACTCCCACTTATTTTTAAATATAATAAATTCATTTGAATATATTTTTTATATATTGGAAAAATTTGAAGAAGAAAATCGGAATTTATTAGCTAAGTTGGACGAAAAATTACAAGAAACGAGTTTCTTAGATATACAAATTCAAGAACTAACTAATTTAATCAAAAAATTAAAAGAAAAAATAGTTAATGCTTATATTTATTTTGCTCCTGAAAAAGAATTGTTGCAAAAGTTAATTATAGCTCATTTAGAATTTACTAAAGCAAAAAAGCAAGGAGTTGATAGCATTATAAAATACCGAAAGCAATTTAATAAACTTTATGAAGAAATAGAAATAAGGTTGAATAGTAAACTTATTCAAGATGTAGAAATTATTCTTAATGATTGTGAAGAAGTAGTAACTCATGAACTAGAATTAGAAACCAAGTTAAATTCTAAATTACTAATTTTTGAAGAACAAAAACGATCATCTCAAATAACTAATAACACTTGTAATAATGCTTTGACTATTTTATCACAAGCAAAAGATAATAAGGTTACTGAGCAATTAATCAAGAAGCTAGAGAAAGAATTAGCTAAAGAGAAAATTAAAAACGAACAATTAGTTCAAGGTCAAAATCAAATTGAAAAGAAATTAGACTTTACTAATAAATTTATTAGAGTAGCTCTTGAAAAGGATGAATATCAATATTATAAAAATTGTTGTGAAAATAATAGCTATGATATATAGAGCCTTGCAGTAGTGGTGTTATTTTATATTATAATAAGAACTGGATACTGTATATACAGTACAATTATTATCTTGTATGATAACTGCTTAATTCATATAGTATAGTGTGAGGTCCCAAATAACGTGATCCGGACAAGCTGCGATCGATCACGTTTGCCGCGGATATGCAAATCGGTTGCCAAATATAGGCATCCCGGCAATTAATTCAATTAATTCAATTAATTGAATTAATATTATTTCTTAAATATATC